TCAAAGATATGTGTGAAGTCAACCCGCACTTGGCCAGCGTGGTTGATTAAGGCCTAGTCACCCTAACTTTAGTGTAGGCTCCGAGCCCTTCTGTGGGGACGTATAGTGAGCTGGTGATGATGGTGATGGTGATATTTCCTTTCTTTCAGTCAATGGCAAGCTAAATCAATACATCGCAATAAAGCGATGCCACATATAAAGTCCTACACACGTGTTTCTCCTGACAACAAAATGGCGGCTTATTTTTTACTGACGTCAGCAAATGTTAGTAAAGCTGCTTGGGGTAGTTTGAATAAAGGCAATCGAGCGTTGAGGATTATGAGCTATGAAGCCGGAGTTTTATTTCTACCCAAGTTTATTGTAAGTATTATAGCTATAGCCTATAGCCTAAGAGATATAAAAAAACAAGCTTTCACTTCTAGTTTACTAGTAAAAATAATTTTTTTTTTTGGCTACTGCACTAGGTTCCTTTTTGCTGCAGCAGTTAATCCCTCCATTTACGAAAATCAATACATTGTCTATAAAAAACAAAGAAAATCTTTTATTCTATTATAAAGAGGAAACATTTGTATTTTTTTATGTATTGAAATAAAAAAAACTAAGTTCATTTAAAAAAAATCATTAGAAAGCTACTTTATCGCGGAGTAACAGCATTTTATGACTTTTTTAGCTAGTTTTTTAAAATTAACAATATTTAGGTTACCTCTATGTGTAGACTAGCTGTTGCTCGCGACTTTTACTGTTTAAAATTAAATAAATAATATAGCCAATGTTACTCACAGATAAACTACTTTTCTAATTTAAAAAGATTTTTTTTTAATCTGCTTAGTTCTTACGTGAATCAAATACATACAAAACAAGATGGCGTTTCTAGCTCATTATAGTGTGTCTAATTAATTTAGATTAGTTTGACAATTGATTTCAAATTTAGTAGGGATGTTGTGTAAAATCAGTCATGAATCTTATCGATTTTCCATTTTTACTCTTTTAGAAGTTGGAATCGATAGATTTATAGTTATAACTTATTAAATAAAAAAAACACTGGTTTCTCAAATTAATAATGACCATAACAAATAATGAGAGTAAATAAATGTTTATTACTACTACAGCCGTACGTAATCGAATTGGATTTCGCTATCATTTCTGCCATCGCTAAATTCTCTACACTATAATCAATACTAGAATTGTCTTCTAAATTATTTAATAAGAAAATAATAATTTTAGTTGAGTTCGATAATTATATAAACCGAATATCGATAGTTCATAATTGTTCGCTGCGTGTTTCGTCACTACGATACCTGTCTAAGTACGGCATTTGCCTTCATACAAATTGAATTCGATACTTCATATGCGTCATTTATCAAACTAATCTATCTTATTTAGACAAACTATAATTCTTTTAATGACAAAATTATAAAATTCGTAATAGAAACTTGGCAATTTTTTTACTAGAATCCATTAACTGCAAGTTTAAGTTAGTAACCTATGTACATTGTAGTAAAAAGTGTTTTTTTCCAGATAAATGAAGATCTATTCCCATTAGACAGGAATGCCACAAATAGACTAATGTTGCCGTACGATATTCCTCCCGTTAAATATACAAGTGATATGTCGGCTTGGGTCTCTGATTATTTGTCATAAGAATAATATAATTAACAGCCTTACAAATAAACGCGGTATAAAGTTTAACTTAGGTTTTTTTTTTATAATATAAGTTGGCAAACTCGCAAGCCACCTGAATCCACCGAAGTGGAAAACGACCGCTGCACATAGACATCCGCAATTCCAGCGTTGCCTACCCTTCATTGACGGAGACGCACATAAAGAGGACATTCTCCTTCCTATGCATCTCCTCCACTGTCAAATCCACTTCCCCTTATTAGTAAAGGGTGGTAAAGAGAAAGGGAGTTAAATTAGGCCTCCGGCACCACACTCATCAGACGAAACATGGAATTGCTTCCATTTGACGCCTGTCTTCTGTGTGGTCGTGGTATTACTGGGAGCGTGCCCTGCAGTGCTAACATGTTAAAGCGGGCACTACCACTGTGAATAAACTGAGTATAAGCAAATATAACTACAATTTTTTCTTATACTCAGTTTATTCCTAAGTTTAACTTTATTCCGCGTGTTTGTAAGTCTGTTATGCTTTGTTGTACCTTTTATTTAATATTGTATTTAAGGCATTATGTTTATAATAATAAAGATTACTACGAAAGACTATTTAAAAAAAAAGTTTTTTAATCTATGACACTTCGGGAATTAAAAAAAAAATTTACGACATGCATGAAATAACCTCAAAAGGAGCCAAAATTTAAACTAATATAATAAAGCGTAAACACACACTTTGTGGCGTAGGATGTCAGTAATCACAGCATATTTTAAAATAATTCTTTTATAAAAAGCCCTAACGAAACGCTTTAAGCTATATTTCAAGCCACCAAACTTAGGGTGTAAATAAATTTGAAAAAAACCTTCACGTGGGAAAGGGTTCATAAACTACAAACTGCCGACATTAAGGAAGCCAGGTTATTGGTAACGGTAAATTAGACATTTGCAATTAAGAATTTGACAAATGTAAAAAATAAAACAAAGTTTGTATAATTTCATACGAATGAAGCCGCACGGTGACAGCTAGTTACTAATAAATTAAAGTTTTTCCAATTCTAAAATAACAATGTTTTTTATTGGTTCACCGCAAATGAAGGTGACTGTACTTTTAGGGCATAAGGTGGCAAAGAGCAAGCGGCCACTTGAATCCGCCAAAATGGCGAAGCGACCGCTGCCCATAGACATCCGCAATTGTAGATGCGTTGCCTAGCCTTATCCGACGGTGGAAGGAGACGCACATAAAGAGGATATTTCCTCTTCCTATTCGTTTCCTTCATCGTCAAATCCACTTTTCCTTCCCATTCTCTTATAAGAAAAAGGTGGTAAAGAGAAAGGGAGTTAAATTAGGCCTCCAGCACCACACTCATCAGACGAAACACGGAATTGCTTCCATTTCACGCCTGTTTTCTGTGTGGTCGTGGTATTACTGGGGGCGAGCCCTGCAGTGCTAAGATGTTAAAGCGGGCACTACCACTATACATTGAAGTATAGTAACAATCAATGGAATATTTTTCATACATTACAATCAAAGAGATATAAAAATATATATAGAGGAGGCATAGTTAACACTTCGTTTGAAACATTTTTCACAAAATCTCAATAACATTTTCTAGAAAGATCCTCAAAGCAACAAGTTATATTTATATTGACACTAGCTTTTGCACGTTTCCGTTTGCGTGGAATTAAAAAAACACAAATTTAATAGCCTATGTGTTCTTCCAGACTATCCTCTACATCCATACCAAATTTTATCGAAATCCGTTTAGCCGTTTATGTTATACTCTAACAAACATCCATCTAAACTTTCGCATTTGTAATATTAGTGTGATTGTTTTTAAATTAGTTGCCAATAAGTAATTTAAATCTATACTATAAAAGAGGAAAGATTTGTGTTTTTGTATGCATTGAAGTAACTGAAAAAATATTGGGCTTATTTTAAAAATTCCTTCACCGTTAGAAAGGTAATTTATTTCTGAATAACATTGGATATAATTTTTAATTGCGCGCGAAGTCGCGAGCAAAAGCTAGTTTAGTATTTTATTTTGTAACAAAATTATTATAATTTTCTAAAATGTCTTATTACGATGTCACTAAAGACAGTAAACCTTTCAGAGAAATTACCAGTAAAACTGAAATTACCAGTGTTCACTGTCTCCTCTATATACTTTTTAATGTCTGTTTACAATAGATTTTCTTTTGTAACTGACTTCTGACGGGGCTAGTGTAATACGACCAGTTTATATTCGGTCCATCGCCCACGAAAGTAATATATAGGCCTCAAATTGTTGAACAATATACATTGTTTGTGCAAACTACAGAGAAAACACACCATGTGGGTAAGTTTTATCTTTGTAAGCTTTCGCCCGCAACTCCGTTCGCGTAAAAAAACAAAAGAAATTGTCCTATGTGTTCTTCCAAAATATGCTCTAAACTGCCAAATTACATCCAGATCCGTTCAGCCGTTTAGGCTACAAACTCTAACAAACATCCATCTAAACTTTCGTATTTATAATATTAGTAAGATAAGATGGCAAACGAGCAAGCGGTCTATTAAAACCGCCGAAATGGATAGCGACCGCTGCATAGACATACGCAATTGCAAATGCGTTGCCTACCCTCAATCAACGGAAGAGACGCACATAAAGATATTTCCCAGTCAAATCCACTTTTCCATTCCATCTATTCCTTTTAATAAAAGGGTGCAAATGGTAAGGGACCAAAGTTAGGCCGTTCGCTTGTTCTAGACAACTTATTTAATTGATACTGCCGCTCTAAACTCAGAGCCACACTTCTTGTTAGGACTAAGGTTGCGCGCCAATCTATCCATACTTCTAGTGACATTGACAGCTGTCAGCTAGGGACGTGACGTTTATGCCGATAATCTAGAGTTGCGCCAATTCTATAGCACGGTACTAATTTTGTTCTTCTTGTTAGTAAAATAAGTAAATAGCCTATGTTCCAGAACCCTCTACATCTATGACAAAGATCCGCAGCAGATTAACAAACATCCATCTAAACTTTCGCATTTATAATATTAGGTAATTTCTTACAGTTCGTATATTTAAGTTGGGTGATACTCGCTTCAGTGATAAAAGGCGAGGATGATTACTATGCACCTCAAACATTCAAACAGGTAAAGATTTTTAATATTAAATTTAATTCTAGCATTTATAAGACAAAGACGCTTTATAAGACTGGCTTTAAATATAGTACAATCTGTATATTATTATCGCAATGTATACGAAAATCATCACCAGCTCACTATACGTCCCCACCGAAGGGCTCGGAGCCTACCCTAATAAGGGGTGACTACGCCATAGTCAACTACGCTGCACTGCGGGTTGACTTCACCCATATCTTTGAATTTCTTCCCCGATATGTGCATCACGATGTTTTCCTTCACCGTAAGAACGTCCGGTAAATTATGTACATATGATCGAAAATCACGAAATAAATTCTCTTTTCATGTACGAAAATTATAAGAGAATTTATTGGATAGAGCGTTTAATGCTTTACACCTGGCCAGTACAGTCGGACAGTTGGATGGCCAGTCAGATTCGCCACGTGCACCAGTTAACCTTAATGTTATGCCAGTTGATTCACAGTCATAAATGCAGGAGATACATTTTGATTTATACTTCAATTAATTCGCATTTTGTTTAAAACCAAATTTTAAAAAAATTCTCGAACGTCTCGATGTTTTAAAAATATATTATCTGTAATAAAATAGAAAATCACATTTATAAGTAAAACTACTTCTTGACAATAACACATATTTGTATCGAAATTAAAACATTCTCAAGTTTTTTCTAAAATCATCAATGTCTGTACTAATATTATAAAGAGGAAAGATTTTAAACTAATATTTATAAGCTACGATATCACAGGCTATATTTTTATTATCTTTAAAGGGACTAAGTCGGGGGCAACAGCTCGTATTATATTCTTATGGTATGACAAAACAATGCATGTGTTGAATATCCATTTAATTAATAAAAAACAATATAAAGATTTCAATCCTTTCCTTATTAATAATTAATTGTAACAAATAACAAAAATAGAAAACACGACATTGATGTTATATGTTAAAACAAAATTGGCGCGAACTAGCGATGTGTGACAATTGCAAGATGGCGGCCGCTATTTCAGTTAATTATTTGAGGTTAATTGCTTTACAGTAATTATTTAGTCTGTGGTGAAATTCGTTCTGCTTTTTTTCATAACTAATGTTTCGTTATTGATGTTATCACGTTTAACAATTTTTATGTGCAAATATTATAAATGACATCGAAGCGATGTAAGTAACGAAACATATTACTTCTAAATAAATTAAACATTTCTATGAGGAAAAATAACTAAATGCGATTCTTATTACACAAAATCTTACGCGTATAGTTCATAAAACAACAAATTAGTTTTTTTTTAAATATACAGAACATAAAAACAAAAAGGAACGGGGTAAAGTCTTTACATATAAAACGAATAAACCGATTTAAAGAGAAAATGCCCTTAGATACCTACATTATCTCTGAGTAACAGACTATATTTGTTATTACACCGTTACGACCACTCCAGATGGGGTCGGCAGAGCTTTTCCAACCCGTGTACCAGCGCTGGAGAGATGTTATGAGGAATCAGAAAATAGTAAGCTTGTATAAAGGTGATGGACTTGCCTTTAGTAAATAGCTTTCTTAATGCCTTTAATGGAATTATTTCTCATATAAATTGACATGAGAATTAACAAATATTAATTTAAATAAGTTTTATGAAACTCGACAGTAGATGTCGCATTTTATTTGTTAACTGTTTCATCTACTCAACAATAGATGGCGCTGGATGTTGCGTAAATATTGATTGAAATGTAATTTACAGACAGATTCCTACAACAAGGCTGCGTTCACACCGGCGCAGAATGACGTCTCTCCACAAAGCTCCAATCCACAGTCGTGGAGACCAGGTCCTTCTAGCGATGATTGGAGAGGTAATAATTTATTAAATTATACTTGTAATAAAATATGTTGAAACTGAAGAATGTTATTGTTTTTAGCACCAGAGCAATGGGTACGCAAGGAGCAACAAGCTTCTATACTTCATCATAAGCAAGCACTTACATCAGGTAAGCAGACTTAATAACTTAATATACCTTGTAAATTATTTCCATAAAAGATCTAAATATTTTTGTTTTTAATTTTTATATTCAACACTAGATGGCGCTGTTCATTGTTTTATTTTACTATTTGCTTCATTGGTTTAAATTTTAAACATAAACACTTTACAATAATACATAAATGTAACCGCGCAAAAACTATATTATTGGTTTATTCTCTGCTGAGTAACAATTTTATGTAGTAGTGTTTGTTAAAAATTTTAGCAGATTTTTTTGTCAACTAACAAATATTTTACCATTCCAATGAAGCTAATACAAACTAATACCGCTAAATTAACTCAATTGGCGCTTGAATGAATCATTTCAATTTAATAACAATAGATGGCGCTTATTCAATTTTAAAGTCAACCAGCACAGCCAGCGTTGATAATAGCAACCCTAGCTTAGGGTATGCTTCCCCTCAGTGGAGACTTAAAGCTGACTAGCTGTTTTCGTGCGGCTTCATCCTCATGAAATTATAAAAACTTTATTTTATTGTTTACATTTGTCAAATTGCATATGTCAAAATACCATTACCTTACTATGGCAATTTTGCTTCCTTGATGTTGGCAGCAACTTATGGTCTCTTTCCCACATTAGGATTTTATCCAAAATATTTACCCCCTAAGTTTAATGGAGTGAAAATATATAGCCTAAAGCGTGACGTAAGTGTAGGGCTTTTTCCTTAAAAAAAATGTTATTCAAAATTGCTGACATCTTAGGCAACAAAGTGTGTGTTTTCGCTTTATTATAATAGTATAGATATAGATTATATATAATATATATAGTATAGATGATTAAATCTAACAGAGGGTAGTTTCCGTTTCGAGTACGCGTCAGACAACGGTCTAGCTGCAGGCGAGGTTATAGAACCGGACGGTTCTCGTGTTGGCGCCTACCAATACAAGGATCCTACAGGGAAACTTGTCAAGCTTAAATACAGAGCCGGGAAAGAAGGTTTCCAGGTAATTAACAAACATTTGACTAAACTATCGCACAACAGTCACGCGTTGATATATGCTTAGGAGATTCACAAATCGATTTTTAGTTGTGCAACTAAACAGTTTACGAATTAATCGGCAAGTGATTTGTGCGATGTTTTAGTCCCTTGAGATTTTCTTTTCATACAGTACAGTGTAAACACAAAAAATCGTCGTATTAACTTAATCCAATTTATATTTCGTTATTCGTTAATTATAACTAGAATTTGGAGTCAATTTTATGTCAATAGTTTTAATTGGTCAAAGTGTTTTAAATTAGCTTTAGAATTTATAAAAAATGGTAAATGTAGCCTATCTTACTCACTGATAACGTAGATTTTAATGGTGAAAGAATTGAAATTGTCCCAGTAGTTTTTGAGTTATTTCAATACATATAAAATACAAATTTTTTCTCTTTATAATAAACTAGCTATTGCTCGCGACTTCCCCCGCGTGAAATTTAAAAATATAACCTATGTTATTCACAGATAACTTACCTTTCTAACGGTGAAAGAATTTTTGAAATCCACCCAGTAGTTTTTGAGTTATTCCAATACATACGAAAATACAAATCTTTCCTCTTTATAATATTAGTATAGAGTTCTGTAATTTGGATGGTTTCAGATTCTAGAAGGAAGTCATTTGCCACAAAGTCCTCAACCACAGCAACCAGGTATGAATCCAATTTAAAATAGAACATATTAAAAAAAAGGACAAAAACCTTATATAACCTACTAGTTTTGCATCTACTCCGTTCGCGTGGAGTTAAAAAAAAAGAACAAAAATTAGTCTATGTGTTCTTCCAGACTATCCTCTACATCTATGCCAAATTTCAGCGAGATCCGTTCAGCAGTTTAGGCTACAAACTCTAACAAACATCCATCCATCTAAACTTTCGCATTTATGATATTAGTATGATTGTTTTCAATATTTCGGACCCCATCGTTATGTCGATGATTTCGCCAACGTCAAGGTTGAAGATACTTGTTCATATAAAAAACAAGACTAAAATTTTGAAAAGCAGCTAACTAGATAGACGGAATCCATTGACAAATGACAATTTTCCTTCACGTCATGTTGATTTAATTTTTTTTAAGAAATAAGAATACTTTATTGGACCAAATTGTTAAATTTACTACGAAACTAGCTGTTCACGTGCGACTTCATCCGCATGAAATTATAATTTTTTGATTTATTGTTTACATGTGTCAAATTATCAATTACAAATGTCAAAATGACATGTCATGACCATGGCAACCTTGCTTCCTTAATGTTGGCAGCAACTCATGGTCTCTTTCCCACATTAGGGTTTTTATCCAAAATATTTACCCCCTAAGTTTATTAGCGTGAAAATATATAGCCTAAAGCGTTACGTTAGTGTAGGGCTTTTTGTTAAAAAAGGAATTATTCAAGTATATGCTGTAATTGCCGACATGTTAGGCAACAAAGAAGTGTGTGTTTACGCTTTTTTTATAATAGTATAGATATAGATATGTGGGACTCTATGTCCTGAAATAACCTGTGTTTCAGGAAGCAGGGCTTTTTCTTAATTATCATGCACTATTTAAACTAAACTCTTCATTTTTAAGAAATTAACATACTTTAGATACCTAAAATTATTTACCCCTGACATACATGTTTAGATCGTGCACATTTGACTAAATAATCGCACAAAAGTTGTGCGATTGTTCGATTGATCGATTGTTTCCAATTCAACTGATTAGTTGCACTAAAAATCGAGTAGTGCACCTTCATATAAGATAATAGGAGCGCGACTAAACAGTTGTGCGATAGTTTTGTCAAAATAAATCGCTCTAAATGTGACAATTGTTGTAGATAATTACTATCAGAATGCTTACGCCCAACAAAAACAATACGACAATCAACATAACCAAAGACCGGAGGTCAACCAAGACTGGACGCCGCAAAACCAGGTGACTACACGATTTATTTATAGAATTGCTAACAAAATATGTAATTACTAGTTGCTCGCGACTTCGTCCACGTAGAATTATAAGAAATATAGCCTATGTTCCTTAATAATGTAGCTTTTTAATGATGAAAGAATTTTTGAAATTGTCCCAGTAGTTTTTGAGTTATTTCAAAACATACAAATCTTTCCTCTTTATAATATTAGTATATACTAACTGTTGCCCGAGACTTCCTCTGCGTGAAATAAAAAAATATAGCCTATGTTACAGATAAATTACTTTTCTAACCATGAAAAAAAAATTAAAATCGCCCCAGTAGTTTTTGAGTTATTTCTATATATACAAAAATGCAATACTTTCCTCTTTATAATATCGAGTATAATAACTATATTTTCATTAGTGACGTCATAAGTTATGATGTAACTTAGATTTAAAAAGTCCGATTTTTTTTATTTTATACCTAAAAATCGATTTCTTACGGTAAAAAACATTTGTTATACATTTAAGACGAAATTCGAAGATATATGTAAAACCTTCAGTGGACCTAACTATGCCCTAGTCATCCCTTAGGGTTTCCCCTTAGTGGAGATGTATCGGTAATAATTCAAAAACCAAACATAAAAGAGATTTTCAATATAGTTTGTCTAAATAATAGATTAGTTTGACATTTGAAATTTAGTAGGGATGGGTTGTGTAAAATCAGTCATGAATCTTATCGATTTTTATTCTTATAGAAGTTGGAATCGATATATTTATAGTCATAACTCATGAAATAATAAAACACTGTTTTTTTAAATTAATGATAAACATAACAAATAATGAGAGTAAATAAATGTTTATTACTACTACAGTCGTACGTAATCGAATTGGATTTCGCTATCATTTCTGTCATCGCTAAATTCTCTACACTATAATCAATAAGAGAATTGTCCTCTAAATTAGTTAAGAAGAAAATAATTTTAGTTGAGTTCGATAATTATTGAAACCGAATATCGATAGTTTGTTTCGTCACTACGATGCCTGTCTATTAAGTATTTGCCTTCATACAAATTGAATTCGATACTTCATTTGCGTCATTTATCAAACTAACCTATCTTATTTAGACAAACTATAGTTATGTTTTCTAGGCGATTTTAAATTCAAATATTTATAACAGCGCCATCTATTATTGGAAAGTTTTAATTAGCAGGGTGCTGGCAATCAAGGCGCTGGCGGACAATACTTCAATCAGAATTGGAGTTCAGGAAATCAAGATGGACAGGTATTTTTGATCTTATTAAACTGATTGAGTCGTAATAATTGTTTTAAAATGTATTATCTGATTTTTTAATAAATGGTCAATTTTAAACACTAGCCTTACTATTATATTATATTTTCTAAAGCTTTTGTTGTATTTAGATGTATATTTTTATTACGTGCTTTTGCCGACTTCGTGTCTAATTAAAAAAAAATTATAAATTAAATCTATATTTTCTTCCCGCCATCTATAACTCGAGATCCGTTCAGTTTAGGCTACAAATTAAAAAAAAATATCCATCCATCCATCTAAACTATCGAATTTATATTAGTAAATTTTATTTTATTCCAGTATCGAGACAATGAGTTAATGGAACACAGACCGCATTCATTCGGCGGAGGCTACGCGTTTGCTTTCAAAGGATAAAGATGGCGCTGTTCTAAATTGTCCCTTTAACGACTCTTTTTGTTAATAAAACATAATCCTATACGAGGTTTTTTATTTCCTTATTTCTTTTAACTATTAACAGATTAAAAATGAAATACGAACGATAAATATTCTATAAAAAACATTATTTACAGAAAACTCATAATATTTTATTAACAAAAACTATCGCATCTCAAAAAGTACTGCAAATTGTATGGACAAAATGTTAGAAAGCGATAGATAACATTGGTATTTTAAAGAGTAAAAGAGATAGACTATAGCAGAAGGAAATCGCAATTAAGTCCAGCGAGCTTCCGAAAACGAATGTTTAAGAAATGAAACACGATTTAGTTCATATACCCACATTTAATTAACATAAATATTATTTAAGCAACAAATAAATCACAAACATAATAATATTGGTAAAGATAATTTAAACTAGAGAAAAAATAAATGACTAAAACAATCTTTTATAAATTAAATCAAAAATATATCACAATTAATTAAAACAACCGTAACATTATTTAAAAAAAACCCACATAAGTCGCCTATTATCCTTAAACTACGTTAAAATACGGATATTTCCAGCGATACAAGTTCAAAAGCATCAAAATATCACTAAATCTATCACAATAATAATATTGTTCTATATTTTGGCGGGAAAACTCCACTACTTATTAAAATATATGATATAAGAAGAATATTGTATATTTATTACTAACATACACGCAGCTCGAAGCTGGATTTACTACCAAATACTGCCGACACATTGATAAATATATAGTCGTCTCTCTTCTTTTCTTTGAGTAAAATGAGACAGACATATTTTTGTGTGCTTCGACAGCGAAAACTTAAGTTTTAACCTAAAGATTATGTCTCAATATTATTTTGAATATCTGAATGAAAAAATCACACTGGACAAAAATAAAAGAAAAATTATACGATTGATTTGTGTTCTAAATTTGAATTGGATCACAATAATTTCCAAGTGAATCTAGAAAAACTTTAATGCATTCGTTACTGGCTGAAAATGTCATAGACAATAAAAAAGCAAATGTCAAAATGACGTTTAGTGTAAAGAGTATAGTATCGTTCATTTGTAATATTGAACATGTTTTTTTAATAATAAAAATGTTTGAATCATTCAGACAATCAAAATACTTAGTAATAATGAGTAAATAGTTTTTCAGGACCCATTCCAGCTATTGTTTATTTTTATACAGATAATGTAATTGAATTTAAATCAAATATGAATGATCAATTATGAAAAAAATGGATTATTTCTATTATTAAATGAATTTTTCCTTTGTGTAGTGTAAAGTAGCTAAAAAGCTATATTTTAATTTGAATAATTCCACATTAAAACCTTTTTGCAAAATCTAAAAAGCGAAATACATTTTAATGAACATGAATTCCTAATATTGGAAGATAATGTGATTATTTACTCTTAAATTCTACATTCTACAAACTACTATTAATAAATTATTGCTGAAACGATTTATTTCTAATAACTGCAAAGAAATCAAATATCTATGGTTCGTATATAAATTGACCGTTATTGATTATCTGTGCAGCCATACACAGATAAAGAAAACGTGTGTTTTCGTTTATTTCATATGGATTTGGAAATTGTATGCGCTGCGTTCACTTTTAATATATTGAAAATACATTATAAAAACATCCAGATTTTGAGTAAAACGATTAAATAAACTTTTGTGGTGATAAAAATTAAAACGTTTCTCGTAACGAAAACACGTGTCAAAATAGATTCCGTACCATTGACATTTAAGCATATATATTATTGGTTATATTTCTCTACATTTCAACCTCTACTGTTTAGATTTCTACTAATAAAAGCAGATATATTTAAATCCTAATTTTACTACTATAAGCACTAAATATTTTTAATATGATTATGAACCACAAATGTACTACATGAATATATTTGACATATGGTAACGAAATGAACATCATTCATATTTGATTTACTGATACGATGATCTCTATAAATGGATAGGCTATTGCTTTGAAATGACAGCTTTTGCTGGCAGTTCATCACCAGCTCACTACACGTCCCCACTGAAGGGGAGTCTACCCTAAGTTAGTGACTAGGCCATAGTCGACCTGTACTGCGGGTCTTCACACATATGTTTGAATTTCTTCACAGATATGTGCAGGTTACATCACGATGTTTTGCTTCACCGTAAGAATGTCGGGTAAATTATGTACATATGAAATTCGAGAAATCAAAAATCATTGGTACAGCGGGATTCGAACTCAAGACCTGTAGATTACAAGTCAAGTGCTTAAACCACTGAGCCACCGAAGAAGTGACACATAAACTGAAAGTTAAATCTCTATTTATAGTTCCATTTCTCACCACCGACAATCGCAATCATCAGCGATAAAATGGTGAAAATCTCAGGCCCAATACAATTTATAGCCTGTCCATTTATAGTGGTCAGTGGATGAAGATAATCAGATAAAAAATATGTTTTATACAATCTTAGTTGAAATTAACAGATAAATACAATAGAGATGTTTAAAGAAAGGTAGAGGAAGACCGAAGAAAGTAAGGATTGTTGTTATGCTTAAGAAAGGAGTGTATTCAGATATGGCTGATAGATGTATGGAGCACATACTGTGCCGACCCTCTATAGGGATAAGGGTAAGTGGATGAAGAATATTTTAATATAAGAAAATCTACTTCTTTGGTCCAATTAAAACAGTGCTGGAATAACTAGTGACAAATTAATACAATAAAATGTTAATATAAAAAAAATTGTATAAACCATCAAAATTATTAGTTAATTTATTGTCTAAAATACAATCATTTTTTATTGTTGTTTTAATTAAAATATTGTCAGTCACATTTTGATTGAAATAACCACAAATAGGTGAAAGCGTTTGACATTTTTAATTTTGTTTTTTAGTAAAAATGACAAGACTGATACTGACTGTTTAAAAATATTCAATTATTTTTATTACCGAAGAATAAAATTGGTCTAAAGTATACATATATGGATATAGTTTATTTCGTTACAATCTTAATAACTACAGTAAACATATATTTTCATTAATATGTTAAATACGCATTTATCTGTAACATGCATTTACTAATTTTTTTGTGTTTTTTTGATTGTTTATTTTTTTTAATATATACAGCAAAATATAGCATTTGAATATAAGGCTTTAAATGTATACATATATTTTTACCTTAATATATCTTTCTAGTATTTTCGCTGGATTAAAAAGTTAGAAACGGGCGGGTTCCAAGATGGCGGACATCGAAATGGCGTCTACTCCTCTTCTTCGTTCTGATAAGTCACGTAACGTACAGAAGATTTGTCGCTTATTATCAAACTCTGGAAGATAAAAAGACAATTGCTTTAAACATTACAGAAACAAAAATAATAAATAATTAAAAATAAGTTTCTTTAAAATAATGGAAACGAAAAGATGACGCTTTGTTTTTTTAATGTTAAAGATGACATGACTTTTAAAACGTCTACGCCATTGTCTTAAACAAAAATACAATTAATAAAAAAATAAAAATAGCGCCATCTATCTGTACTAATACTATAAAGAGGAAACAATTGTATTTTTGTACGGATTGAAATAACTCAAACACTACTGGAGCGATTTTAAAAATTCTTACAACATTTAAAAGCTACATTTTCAGCAAGTAACATAGGATGTTTTTTTTAATTTCACGCGGACAAAGCTAGCTAAGAAAAGCTAGTCTAACTAACGGATGGATGGATGTTTGTTAGTGTTTGTAAGCTAAACTATTGAGCGGATTTTAATGAAATTTGGTAAAGAGTAAGAGAATAGTCTGGAAGAACACATAAGCTACTCACTATTGTTTTTTTTAATTCCGCGCGGACAGAGTCGCGTGCGAAAGCTAGTGTTTTAATGTCTTACCTGCTTCTCATCTCTCGCGGGCGGAGACCTCAGCATCAGTAGACAAGGCGCGTACGCGAAGTTCAGCAGCGCTATGATCACTAACATCCACTCGAAGCCAATACTGTTCACTAAAGCTCCGGAGAACGCAGGACCTGTCAGAAAATCATACTAATATTATTAATGCAAAAATTTAGATGGATGTTTGTTAGAGTATATAGTCAAAACGGCGGAACAAATGCGGTCAAAATTTAGAGAGTAGCCTGAAAGAACACATAGACTACTTTCTTTTGTGTTTTTTTAATTTCATGAGAACGGATTCGTGAGCGAAAGCTGGTGTTTAATAAATGAGAAAACCCGTCTTATTTTTTTTTATAACATAAGCAAACGAGCAAGCGGCCACTTGAATCCGCCAAAATGGCGAAGCGACCGCTGCACATAGACATCCGCAATTGCAGATGCGTTGCCTACCCTTATACGACGGAGGAGGAGACGCACATAAAGAGGATAATGCCCCTTCCTATGCATCTCCTCCACCATCAAATCCACTTCCCCTTTCCATCCTCTCCTTATAAGAAAAGGGTGGTAAAGAGAAAGGGACTTAAATTAGGCCTCCGGCACCACACTCATCAGACGAAACACGGAATTGCTTCCATTTGACGCCTGTCTGTGTGGTCGTGGTATTGCTGGGGGCGTGCCGGCCTTGCAGTGCTAAGTTGTTAAAGCGGGCACTACCACCGTTAAAGTTACCACATCTTACTTTACTAACTTTATAAATGCGAAAGTTTACGTAGATGGGTGTTTGTTAGAATTTGTTAACTAAACTGCTTAACGGATATGATATGACAAATTTCATCGAAATCCGTTCAGCAGTTTAGACTACAAACTCTAACAAACATCCATCTAAACTTTTTCATTTAGAATACTGTTAAGGTTTAAATAAAATTAAACTTAAGCTAGCGATTCAATACTGGTTCAGTCACAAAATATTACAGACTAGCTATTGCTCGCGTCTTCGCCCGCGTAAAATTAAATCATAATAAAAAATTTAGCCTATGTTACTGATAATGTAGCCTTCAAATGGTAAAAGAATTTTCGAAATTGGATCAGTAGTTTTTGAGTTATTCCAATACATACACATCACAAAAAAACAATTGTTTCCTCTTTATAATATTAAAGCTATACTTACCAACAGCATATCCCAAACAGAAGGCAGTATCTCCAATAGCATAAACCGATCCGTATACCGCAGCATGACGGATGTCAACCAGGAACCCAAGCTCCGGCATCATTGAGGAGTCCACCATTCCGATAGCAAAGCCCAGACCAGCATTGGGAATTATCAAATGCTCCAGTTTACGTGCCATCGGAATCTAAAATGCCATTCGGTTTAAAAAATGCACCTTTGACTTTTCAACAACGAAACACTGTTGTTCGATTTAAAACCATGCAAATTGAGTCATGTTAATGTACAAAGTAAAACAATATAAAACCAAAGTCCATACTTCAATGGTTTATCTCCTTTTATTTATATTGATGACAGTGAAATATCAAGGTTAAATTTTGAATTTAATTCATATTTAACAATTTTTTATTAAGAATTCATCATATACTTACCAGAATTAAGCATAATCCAATGATGATCAGTCCAGAAAGAGCTGCGAGCCAACGACCCATCTTATGTCCGAGGGGTCCGAATAAATTGGTACCTATAAACATATCAAAAATGAATAAAGCCCCTTCTCAACAACACACATATTCATAGAATTACTGGCCGAATGAAAGTCAGGTAACCTCCTCACATAATTTTTATTTTTAAATTGTGTTCATCAAATTACCAAATGCTGGCTGGAAGTATAAAACCTTCTTGAAACACTTTTATTTTTAATCATACCAATGAGATAGCAGATGCTGGCCGGTAAGAACGCGACTCCCTGCTGCCAGCGCCGCGCCTCCATCGTGTCTGCCATCCAGATGGGCAGACTCGGCTCCAACATTGCGATACCCACATTGGCGAAAGTTATCGCTCCTGGAATACAGTTTTACCGTATTTTTATTACAAATGCGAAAGTTTAGTTGGATGTTGTCAAAAATGCTAAACGGATCTTGATAAAATTTGGTACAGATGTAGAATAGTCTGGAATAAATATACTACTTAGTTTTTTTTATAATCGTGGACGGAATCGCGGGTAAAGCTAATTTATGTAAATACCAGAAGATAAACGAGTAAACGGTTGGGTTGCTAATAAAAAAGACCTCTGCATAAACATCTGAAATAAGTTTAAGAATTACCGATGAATATTGGGTTTTATTAAAGAATGCATCATCATCCACTTGCCCTTATCCCTTACGAAGGGTCGGCACAGAATGTGCTGCTCTTTCATAAAAAGAATGTATACAAATAGATATTTCCGGTCAAATCCGTCTTCAATTCCTAATGCAGTAGCAGATAGCGAGAGAAGCAGACTAACATATGACCTTGGAAATAGTCATCAGAGGCAACGCTTATATATCATACGCATGTCTATATGTTGTTAGTAAACGTTTTGACGTGCCAATTTCATAGTCTTAGAACACAGATATAAAATAAAGCAAAAATGAAATCAGCAACTTACCAGCAGCTACCAGGATGTAAGGATCGGTGACGAGGTCGCGCAGCGAAGGCGGCTCCGACTCCTGCCGCACCACGCCCGGCTGCAGGATCATCAGCTGCAGTACTGGTACACAGAAATACATATTAACAAAGTACAAATATGTCTAGACATTGTGGATTTGCAGAGCTTAAAAAGCATAAAACATGAATCTTTGTTATGTAGGATGTCAACAAACACATCATATTTTTGCCATGCTATTACGACACATTTTAGGTTATATATTCACGCTATTAAACTAAGGGGGTTAATAATTTGTATTACTAGTTAAATTGGTAACTTACTAGCTTATAACTTGTCTATTGTCTTGGACACAGGGTACACAGGAGACAGGGACACAGGGACACATAGTTTGAAACTTTTCAAGTTTTGCTAAGCAAATGTAAAGCAAATACAAAAATCCAAAGTATTAAATATGAACAATATCTCTGTTCTTCTAGAACTAAGTCTTACATCCATCTCCCAACGCGAGAGCAGACAGCATCAGGAAAGGCGCGGTCTTCCCGACGAACTCGTACATCAGACCTCCGAACGGAGGGCCGATGAGGACCCCCAACGCTAGACCTCCTAGAGCTATGCCCATTGCGTTGCCACGCTCCTAAAATTAAAAATAAATCCGTGTTTTTTTTCTACTAGGCGCCTTACATTTAACTAGTATCAGAATAGTCTGCTAGCTTACATCTTCAGCTTGTGAAGCCTTAATATATTGTTATCATTACCGGATATTCTATGGACCTCAAGTTCTACCTCTACTTCTTTAGAAATCAGTGGTATTCTTATGGTAAGCTTTTAGAGGTCCCTTAACACAGTTTTTATAAGTTTCCTAATGTGACATTTTGATATGCGTTTATATATTAATTAAGCATTTAGGGTTTAGGATAGGGCGTAGTTGAGACACCTTCGCGCTTTACAGAAAGTGGCGAATTATTCTCACATAACTCTTAAAACCCTCTTGTCATGATACAAAAGATGTCCCTGTTAAGATCTTGCTCAGACCTCTCATCAGCTTGAAGATCGTCCACTGCCGAACATAGACCTCCCCACGATTGCCTTCACCCTAAGCTCTAATACAACTAATATCTGGTCATATTGATTTAGTTTTAGTTGGAGGCCTAATTTTAGTCCCTTTCCCTTTCCACCCTTTTCTTAAGAGGAGAGTATGGGAAGGATAAGTGAATTTGACGGTGGAGAAGACGCATAGAAAGGGGAAATGTCTTTATGTGCGTCTCCTCCGTCAATGAAGGGTAGGCAACGCATCTACAATTACGGATGTTTTTGGGCAGCGGTCGCCTCCATTTCAGTGGATTCAATGGCCGCTTGCTCGTTTGCCACTTTAACCTAAGAATTCTTAAGAGTCGTAAAAAATCAAGAAATTGATTAAACCCTTACCTTATCATCAGGGTATCTTTCAGCCAGCATTCCCATTCCAGAAACTGAAGAACAGGAGGACCCTATACCTTGGAGTGCTCGAGCAATAAACAGAACGCTATAAGAACGACCGAATGCGAAGACTGAAAGACAAGCAAGAAAATTAGATTATTAAAATAAATGAAAAATAGAATTTAAGTTAACTGACTTACTTAATGTTGATAGAAACATTAAAATGAATCCAGTAAACATGGGCACGCTGTAACCGATTCTGTGGACAAAAGAAATAATTTAATCACAAGTAAAATTATACAAGAATCTACATTCTACTCGTATTATAAAGACATTAAAGAAATATTTAGACTCTACATAGGGAACAACATTTTTTCACCGGTAACTTCTTCGAAAAGTACCATGTTAGTTGTCAACCTAGTATCTCATGTCCTATTCACAATAATAAAACAATTTACAAAATTATAACAAGCTCCATCTTTTGTTATAAAATAAACTAAACCGTGTCACACAAACCTTAAATAGATGTTTATTAGAGTTTGTAGCTGCATAAAGTTTAAATTTGGTACAGATGTACAATATATATAGTCTGGAAGAACACATAGCCTTACTCACTTTCATTTTTTTTAATTCCCCGCGGACGAAGTCTCAAGCGAAAGCTACTAAAACATGAACGTAATCATGACCTATTCGTGTTTTCATGATTATCGACTTGCCCAAAAGATTATATCGTGTTTCATTTAGTGACACGCATGTCAGTGCTATGCCGAAGTGTAGTCAAAGATGTACGCATGTATTTATTACCTGTGTGTAAGTGGTCCTACGAATGGATTAGCGATGAGTTGCACTATCGCCTTGCTGGCGAACATCACGCCAACTGCCACCGTCTCATGAATCAGTTCCTTGTGACGTTCCTCTCTCTCTGCTGTTAAGTTCACTGCGGGATATCACAATTACAATATATAATATTTGTAACCTCGTATCCTTGATATGTGTTAAAACATTTCACAAAATTAAAATAAGCCCCATCTATTGTTATAAAAATTTAACAAAATGCTAAACAATTGAACAGCTATCGGTAATTAAATTTAAATACATTTTATACTGATGGACGGGAGAAATGACCAGAGAGCAAAATAAAGTGGACAAAACTGATAAAGGAATGGTAACCACGTGACGGGAAACGAAAAAGAGGCAGGGAATTTAAATGATGGGCGGACGACAAAAACACCGGAGGGTTATTTTGGGCAAGGAAACCACATAATAGCCAAGAATTGGTGGAGCTGGAAAATAAAATAAAAAAAAGCACGTACATATTTGTTAAAATGAAGTTAAGTGTTAATAATAAAAAAGTTATATTGACATGTGGTTTTGTGGATTTATTAATAGATGGCGTTAGTGGATCATTTAAAAATGTTTCACATGTGTCAACTATGCCTTCTCTATATTTTTTGAATCTCTGATAACTTGATTTCTATAAAGAACTCAATTTAATTTCGAGTTATATTTACACCTTGAATTAACGCTCGATAATGTGTTGAAAAGTGTAAGAGTAACATTTTTTTATCTATAAAATAAAATAAAACACGATTTATTGACCAAAAGAATTATAAAAAAAAGAACACAACTTACAAAACATATTAGTTACTGTAATAAAAAAAAAATCTTGGCCAAAAGGAGAAGGCTCAGCTGATGCGGCCAGCTTGTCACTAAAGGCAGCGCTATTTTTTTTTTGATTTTTTTTTGACTGAGTTGTCACTGTTTGCCTTGAAGAGTCATTTACAGATTCACCGGGCTTGAGGTGGCCGAGTGCAGACGGCGCTTAGCCTAAACCCTCTTTTATGAGTAACTAGGCTCGAGGGCTCCCTCAGGAGCCTCGGCTCGGGCCGTTACTTTGTTATTATTACCGGATTGGGAGGCCACCGAGCTCTTAGATCGCTTCGGTGGACGCTCCATGAAGTGACTTAGCACAAGGGTCCCCGAGAGGGGACCTCGGCTTGGGCTGTCACTCAATACGCGTTTAGCATTCCGATTCAAGGGCGCCCGAGAGGGCCGAACTTCGACTTGATCGGTTGCTGCTATCTGATCATAGGCAGCGCTAGTTTTCTATACTTCTTATACTTACAATGGGTGACATTTTCATAAACGACCGTCGTGTTCTTCTCCATACAAGGGCAGTAAGGTGTCGGCGGGGGCGGGGGCACTGTGACGTCATCCAGGGACATTGACAGGGGCGCGTCAGGGTGACGTATATCGTATAGGAACTCCGGGATTATTGGCACTGGAAATAAAATTATATTAAACCCTTTTTCCACTAGTTCTGAGTTTTTTTTTGTACCTTAAAAGCGTAACTTTGTAAGATCTAAAACATACTTTAAAAAAAAACTAAAGTAAGTACCCTATGTGTTCCTCCAGACTATCCTCTACATCTATGCTAAATTTCAGCAGTTTAGGCTACAAACATCCATCCATAATTTTTATTACTAACAGTAGGATATGCGCCATATTTGAGCGACTAGACTGTTTATGAAAAACAACCTTATTACGAAAATGAAAAGTTAATTTTTAAAAATAATCGATTTGTAGCAATATTTAACTACATTATTGTGTTATTTTAATTAAAAGAAATTCAATAATAAACACTAGTTTTTTTGCGAATTTTTAATCTGGAGATTCTAGAAAGAAATGACATGCTATGATAGAGTATAAGTAAAGACCTAGCACATATATGATCTAGGTCATACGGGTTAATTACTAACAGAGGAGCCGCGTTATATTTAAGGGTCACAGTGTAAGAGAAAATATTAGGATATTACTAAAATAAATTGAATAATCTTATCTTACTTACTAATATTAAAAAAGCGAATTTAGATGGATGTTTGTTAGAGTTTGTAGCCTAAACAGCTGAACCGATCTCGATGAAATTTGGTATAGCTGTAGAGGGTCGTCTGGAAGAACACATAGGCTACGCATTTTTGTGTTTTTTTAATTTCACGCGAATGGAGTCGCGGGCGAAACATATGTGTAATGTTTAAAAGAAGGGGATGTCAGGTATCTAAAAATAGAGATAGGGTTTTAAAAAATATTGTATAGTCTAAGTAGTTACTTTATTATTAAATCAGTCGGCGCATTAAAATAACTTTTCAGAATTAATAAAATTTTATCTCAACCGAAAGCAAAGTCCGTAATAACGGTTAAATCCCTAACCTTCCTTTGACCTCGCGGACATTCTATTTTACGGTTTTCTCCGACAATGCACAGCCCGTATGCTTAACGGCCCGTTAGAGATACCACAATCTGCATAGTATGAACATAGTCATACAAATTTATCTGCCCCGTACGCAAGAATGAACTAAAATTACAACTATAGTCGTGTATAAACAGCCAGAAGTCTCGGACTGTGGCTATCATATCTTGTGTGTAATTTTAACCCTAAAAAGCTTTATGAATACTCGGTTATAATACTCAGAAATATGTAAAACTAGCTATCGCCTGTGACTCCTTCCGCGTGGTATAACAAAACTAAAATGTACTATGCGTTCTTCCAGATTATCCTCTACATCTATACCAAATTTCATCGAAATCCGTTCAGCCGTTTAGGCTACAAACTCTAACAAACATCCATCTAAACTTTCGCATTTATTACAATAGTATGATTTACTATAAACAAAATGTCTAAGACAAGACAAGACAGCTGTAATATGACAAGGTACTTTATTACTAAGATAGGGTTGCTAATCGATGGTCTGGACAAAGTCTAGAAGCAGCTTCATATTCGTAGTAGTTTTTATATTTATGTTACGTTTTAGAATACTCCAGTTAGGGGACAGTTTAGGTTACTAGATTTTCGAGCGACTCCATGGGGATTTAAAAAAAAAATTAGAATCTACGTTTTCTTCCAGACTATACTCTACATCAATAACAATCATCGAGATACATTCAGCAGTTTAGGCTACAAACTAACAAACATCCATCTAAACTATCGCATTTACAATCATACTTCATACTTAATATTACATGGATGCATGTTTGTTAAATTTTGTAGCCTAAACTGCTGAAAGGGTCTCGATGAAATTTCGCATAGATGTAGGTAGTCTGGAAGAACACAATGGTATTATTTTTTTAATTCCACGCGGACAAGTCACGGACAAAAGCTAGTACTGGTATGATTATTAGCATGTTCGTAAAAAGGGAGGAATATTTCCGTCAATCGAGGATTCGATTACGAATGTCGAGTGCGCGGAGATGTTCAAGTGTTTATGCGTTTGACAGCTCATTCCGCACTAGTGTTGTCCGACTCGAATTCAATTTACCGATAAAATGCCGGTTTTATTCTTAAAGAAGTTTGATTGAATTATCATCAAAGAGTTTTCGAACGATTTGATTTATAATTAACAAGTTGTTGATGAAAAAAAAGTGGTAAAAATGCTATATTCATTACTATTAACATAGCTTTTTAATGGTGAAAGATTTTTTAAATTGTTCCAGTAGTTTTTGAGTTATTTCAATAAATACAAAATATACTTCTTTCCTCTTTATAATATTAGTATAGAACACAAATTTTGCTTGTTTAAATAGATAGAATTGACAGAAATAAGATAGAAAGAAAAGGATTCTTTTTGAGGTTATATTCTTTGACAAAAAGACAACTTTGTTAAATAATTTTTTAATGTTTTAACAATCTTCATCATCATCCAATCCTAATCTACATCCACACTAATATTATAAATATGAAAGATTTGTATTTTTATATGTAATGCGATAACTCAAAAACTACTGGGACGATTTAAAAAAAATCACTATTAAAAAGCTACTTTACCACCGAGTAACATAGGTTATATTTAATTCAACACGAAGTCGCGAGCAATATCTAGTTAATAAACAGAACACCAACCAAGTCACAGACTAATACCACCGTATAAATTTATCACAAATTGAATAAAGCAACAAGTTCTGGCTTCGGTAATGAGGTTATCTGTGTCGCGCGATATCAAAACGGTCTGAGATAGAGCGGGCAATGCAATTTGTAGCACCAACTTTGACTACGATATTGTACTAGTGATGTGAACATAACACGATTGGATAAGATACGAAATAACAGTGGTAGTGCCCGCTTCAACATCTTAGCACTGCAGGGCACGCCCGGTGTAATACCACGACCACACAGAAGACAGGCGTGAAATGGAAGCAATTTCGGTTTCGTCTGATGAGTTTGGTGCCAGAGGCCTAATTTAAGTCCCTTTCTCTTTACCATCCTTTTCTTATAAGGAGAGGTTGGGAAGGGGAAGTGGATTTGACGGTGGTGGAGATGCATAGGAAGGGGAATTATCCTCTTTATGTGCGTCTCCTCCTCCGTCGTATAAAGGTAGGCAACGCATCTGCAATTGCGGATGTCTATGGGCAGCGGTCGCTTCACCATTTTGGCGGATTCTAGTGTCAACTTGCTCGTTTGCCACCTTATGTTATAAAAAAAAATGAGTACATTAGAGGAAGTTTGAGAGTAGCCCCAGCGGTTGAGAAAATAAGGAGTAAAAGGTTAGCGTGGTATGGGCATGAGAAGGGATGAATCGCATGTCACAAGAAAGACGTTAGTTATGGACACCGGTAGAGGTAGACATAGAAAGAGATGGATGGATTGCGTGAAGGTGTTATGATCAAAGGGAGTGACTGAGATGACGGATGATAGAGTTATTTGGAGGACGAACACCTGGTGCGCCAACCCTACAGAAGTAGGATAAGGTTTAACTCACTCACTACAACAGTTCCCCAAAATTTTTTGTGCCACCTTAAGAAGTCTAAAAATTTTACGGCCTCATACATATTTTTTAACTTTAAAACTCCCACAGTAACTTCAAATGAAATTTTACCTAACTGCATTTTAATATTTTACTTTTGTTTTTTTGGTAAGATACGTATTGCATTTAAATAGCTCAGAGCTAAAGAAATATATCTAGTCCATTTTTAATATAACCAAAATACCCAATAACTAAATACAAAAGCCATTATTTTAAATTAAAAAAATTGTAGAAAATAACTATATCGATAACAATTTCGAGAGTCGCACAACCCTATCGCGTCGCTTTTGATGAGAGCAGCTAAGTGAATTTCACTTTGATCTCGCCGACGGGGAAATTGCCTCACTTCCGGTCAGAGTTTCCACTGAAAGAGGTGTTAAAAGGACGCTTTGATAACTGAATTACTTCGCAAAGAGTTTCCAAAACTGTTTAATTAAATTATAAGAGACTAGCTGTTCCCCTGCGACTTCGCCCGCATTAAATTATGAAAATTTTATTTTATTGTTTACATGTGTCAAATTGTCAATTGCTAATGTCAAAATGACATGACATGACAAAACTTGGCAATCTTGCTTCCTTGATGTTGGCAGCAACTTATGGTCTCTTTCCCACATTAGGATTTTTAACCAAAATATTTACCCCCTAAGTTTAATGTCGTGGAAATACATAGCCTAAAGCGTGACATAAGTGTTAGGGCTTTTCATTAAAAAAAGAATTATTCAAAAATATGCTGTAATTGCTAACATCTTAGGCAACAAAGAAGTGTGTGTTTACGCTTTATTATAATAGTATAGATTTCTAGCTAGATTACCAGTGAGTTAAATAGGCTGTTTTTTCTATTTTTTAATTCCACACAGACGATTCATTAATAATCAAAAGAGTACAAAG